CTTGCTTTTTTATTACAAAAAAAATATTACTTAGCCCATTTTACTGAAAGCGCTTTTTAGTTTTAGTTTTGTAATTTATGATACAGTATAAATCATTTAATACAATAGCCATTATTTTTTTGTTATACTTCTTAGAAATTATATAAAATATTTTTTTCTCGGCTCCAAAGGCCCATCGGAACGAAGGCCGGGAAATGTTTTTCGATGTAGTATTTCTGAAAAAAAAAAAGGCTGAAATCGGTGATCCGCTGCCTATAACCTCCCCTTGTTAGCTGATTAATAATGTGGCATACGACAAACTGATCACAACTTAAATCTTGTTTAAGATTCTGGTCAGTGGTATTGTTAGAAATCAATACTCAATACTAGAATCCAGAAGCAAGCAGTAAAAATATGGCATATTTTGTTTTATTGCAACTAATATGATGTTTGCATACTTCTGCCAGTTGAACAAGTAAACGTTTCAAGGATGTGTGGTTTCTAACCGGATATGCTTTGATGGTTTGATGGGATCAATTTAGCGAAAGAAAAAAAATAAAAATGGTGGCTCAATAATTATATCGCTAAATTACGAAATAAGAAATTTATTCTTGGATAATAAATTCTGTTTTTTTTTTTTTTTTTACAATGGAGATAATATAGAATCTTGTCTGTTTATCACGTCAATGGTACTATATTACTATTATAATTATACTATTTTATGATACTATTTTAATTAAGCTCTCTTTTATTCATTTTTTTCTTTTTCGATTGAAGGAATGAGTGATATATTTGCCACGTGTACCATTCAAGAAACTTAACCAATGATTTGTTCTTGAAATCTAAAAAACAACAACAAACATTTAATGTTTCTTTCCTAGGAAAATAAATAAATATTTTCTTGTCTCTCCCTAATTTTCGTACTACTAACTCACTGAATATTTTGTTTATAATTATATTTTTTTGGTTTAGTTCTGCCCTGCTCCAGCATTGATATAATATTTGCTTAATACCTTATAACATATAATTTAAAACATAACATAAAATTTGGTAATGAAAAAATAATGTTTATAAATTAAAAAAAATGACAGGTATATAACACCCATATGTCATTTTAATTAGATTTGTGAATTTGAAAATAGATAAATGTGAATCAGAGACATTAAAAATAAAGTGAATGTACAATTATTAAGTTTATATTTTTTATAACTCCTATAAAAAAAAATTAATAAATTTTAAAAATAAAAAGGTAATTTTTTTCATGAAGGTCAGTAATTTTTTCTAATAAAAATTATAATTATGAATCTAAAATAAATTTCATATAACAACAAGAACTGTAAGAAAACTCAAAACAAACCAAAAATCTTGCAAATAAAAGATAAAAAAAAATTATATAATGAGCATCATTTACTATATCAGATCATCAATATTAGACAATATTGATTGATAGTTGAGTGCCATCAACTATTAAAAAACTAGCTTTTTTCTTCTACAAAACGTTCTTTGGTCTATTGTAACTGTTCTGGATTGTTTTTATTATCTTGAATCCTTAGATGGAGATTTTTATCTCATTATATTAAATAAAACATAAGTTACTAGTTAGATCGGTTAAAATATATATGCATATATGTAAATACACTGACAGGCAAAAAACTCCACCCACTTGATTTTTTCATCTAAAAATATTTCACCCACTTGTAAAAAAAGTTGTATTTGTATATAATACTTAGTATTTATGGAATTTTATAATTTTTTTTTACCTTTAATAATCAAAACGTGATTGGGTAAGAAAGATTAGAGAAAAAAAAAAATTGAAAGTTCCTCTTGCCTTCACTACTTCTTGAAGACGCCTCGGCATACTTTCCACCAGTCGGAAAATGTCTCTTTGCTAGAGGATAGCCGATTCCTCCCGAAGAGGCCTTTCAATGTCCTGCAGTGTATCAGGAAGAGTTGAACGCGCTCTTATTCGTCTTCCGAGGTTATCCCATAAATGCTCAATGGGGTTCAAATCTGGAAAATGTGCTGGCCAGGCTAAAACCTCAATATTGTTTTGTTGAAGAAACGTCTGCACTATGCGGGCAACATGTGGGCGAGCATTATCGTTCATTAGAATAGAACGATCGCCGATTTCGTTGAGGATAGGTAACAACATGAGGTTCCAAAATCTCACCTACATAGCGAATGGCCGTCAAAGACCCTCCACGAATAACAACCAATTCTGTGCGGCGCTCCATTGAAATCCCAGTCCACACTATTAAAGAACCACGTTGGAAAGGTTGGCTCTGGGAAAAATTACAGGCTGCTTATCTTTCGTTTCTTCTTCTCCACACCCTTTCACGCCCGTCTGGAGATCGAAGAGCGAATCTTGACTCATCTGTAAAAAGTACAGCACTCTATTCGTCTATAGTCCAATGGTTGTGTTCTCAAGCAAAAGCCAGCCGTGTTACTCTGTGAGATCTGGTCAACTCTGGTCCTCTTACTGGATGAAAAGCCATTAATCCATACTCATTTAATCTTATCCAAGCGGTACGTTCAGAAATTTGCACACCTCGAACTTCTTCGAGCTGATGAATCGCTTAAACAACGGTGAGGTGCCGGTTTCGTAAAATTATCAAAGTCAAAAACCGTTCATCCCGTGGTCCTGTTACCCTAGGCCGTCCAGAACCGGGCCTTCTATTGTAAGAACCAGTTTCCCGAAAACGCCTGACGGCGTCTCGTTTCATATGGAACTCCAATGGCATTAGCTGCATGTCTAATGGAACGTCCATCATCAATAAGTGCCACACCACGCGCAACATCCTCAGCACTAAGAGGCATTTTTAAACTTAAAATTAAAAATTTAAAAGCCGGAGACTAAGAAATGTGCTGCAAGAAACGGCATTGAACTAATGATACTGAATAAACATTTTGATTCCATAGAAAGTAAACATTGGAATCTAGAATCATTTCATTGAATTAAGGATTAAGGGATATTGCCCTCTATATTAACATTCCTAATTGAAAACAAACAAAAAGATTACCTATTAATTCATTAAAAACAATAGACCAATCCAAAGCAGAAATATTTTTAGATGAAAACACGAAAAAATCAAGTGGGTGCAATTTTTTGCCTGTCAGTGTATATGCTTCTACATACTTCAAGGACCATTTAAACATCATTTCATACAGACAGTCTGTATATATAAATTATAATAGATAATATCGCTATATATATATATATATATATATATGATATATATAAAATATATATATAGCGATAATTCATTTGAAAATAAAAAGAAACTAACTACATATATGAAATGATGTTTAAATGGCTCTTGAAGTCCTATTGTAATTACAGGAACAACCTTGATTTTTCCACCCACTTGATTTTTTCGTGTTTTCATCTAAAAATATTTCTGCTTTGGATTGGTCTATTGTGCTTTAAGAATTTGCACTGGAGCATTGGCAACCTCACCAGTAGAAAGCCTGTATGTTGAAGCAGATGAACCTCCTCTCTATCTGAGAAGGTTGTATCTAACCCTAAAGTACGGTCTCAAAATTAAGACACGCCCAAATCATACATTAAATAAAATACTGTTTCAGGAAGAATCAGATAACAGCTGGGGAAAGCATTTCGTAGAAACATTTCTTGAAAATGTCTCAGAATCAAAGTTAGAATCTCTTTTGGACGTGCCGGACATTATTATCCCCCCTTGGATCCATACCTCGCCAGTTATAGAGAACTCGATGGCTGGCTCTCGAAAAGATACGCTACTTCCTATCGAAGCACAAACCCTATTTCTGGAAATAATGGAGAAGCATAAAAAATGTAATATCATTTATACCGATGCTTCAAAAGTAAACGACGAAATAGGATGTGCTATTGTCAACTCTCAAATAGAAAAGTACTTCAAACTTCCGGAGATCTGCTCTGTATTTAGTGGAGAGATGATCGCTATTAGAGAAGCTTTGACTTACATTGATTCAACGGAGAGTAACAAATGGGTCGTGGTAACGGATTCAAAGAGCGCAATCCTGGCCATTGAAAAGAGAACACCAACAACTACATTGGCAAGATCTATTAAAAATATCTGGTGGAAACTGACAGAAAAGGGAAAGACAATAGTATTCATGTGGGTTCCTTCACACTGCGGAATTGTCGGAAATGAACAGGCAGACAAAGCAGCAAATATGGCGAGAAGGTTAGATAGAAATCCAACAGTTATAATCAAAGAAATCCCAATAGAAGATTTCATACATCATACAAAAAAAAAATTTCGGGTAATGTGGCAGAACGTATGGCAACAAATAGAAACCAAATTAAAAGGAATAAAAACCCACTGTTCCAAATGGAAAACTAGCAACCGACTCTCTAGAAAAGAAGAGACAGTCCTCTGCCGCTTACGAATTGGGCATTGCGAATTTTCACATGCCTACTTACTAAGAGGACTAGACCCACCGACCTGCGAGAGCTGCAAGGTGCAAAGAACTGTCCAACACGTCATTCAAGACTGCCCAGTATTTGAGAATGTAAGGAAAAATCTCAATATGGCTCAGAGCCTAAAAGAAAACCTCAGCGACAACGAAAACGCCGTGGAAAAAACCTTACAGTTTTTAAAAAAATAAAATTCTACAATAGAATATAAATAGGAAGTGTTGGCAATGACCCTGCAGGGTATAGGCAACAATAAAAAACAAATAAATAAATAAATAAATAATTACAGGAACAATAGTACTTTAATTTTTAATAACAATAGTAAGATTTAATTTTTTTCTATATAACATTTTTTTTTATTTTACCATTTTAGAGAGCTTCAGCCCGAAAGTCCTCCTCTCATCTCCCCGTAGATCCGTCTGTGTACATAACTGAAGGTAGGTAGTATTAATAATAAATAAGTAAAGAGAAAAAATACTGGAGCCACAACTCTGCAGTTTGATTACCTGATGTACACGTATTTCTGACGTAGTAAAAAAAAGGTTGGGCTAATTGGCGGAGCCTGAACGCGAGTCCTGGGAATTGATAACTTCAGTTCGCAGTTAGAGCTGCTAGTTGTCGATAGTCCGGATTAGGGACTGTTTGTAAATACTTACAGAAGTTTTATGGACTAATATCACCTTTGTTCTACACTTTCAATCTACACATTATCAAGGTATGTTTTATGATTTATAATCGTTTAATAATTAAATAAAAGTAACATAGCATAGAAATAGTGTGTGGGTTCCTAAACTGTTGCATCATATCAGCCTTTCAGTTGACAGAAACAATATTTTTAAGTGAAGTCATTCTAGTGGTATTTCTAGTTGGGAAATTTATAATATCTGTACAGACAACGATTAAGTTGATTCAAGAGTTATTGCAATGTTGAAATATAAAACTACAAATACAAAGGAATAAATTTTCCCACTAGAAATATCGCTAAAATTAATTATAATTTTTTTTTTAAATCGGAGTCATTCTATCCACTGAAAGGGTCACACAGTCTGTGGACTTTTTTTTTTAAATCTAATTATTAACATCTGCCAGCAACGTCGTTAATAGCTTCATCTCATCGTAACCTTCAACATTTTTATTTACGACATTTCTTGGAAATTTCGATCTGAAGATAGGCAAGCTATGTTATTTAATTAGGTACTAAAAACTCGTAACTACTCATTTTCTTTCAACTTGAATCGTGAGGCAATTTGAGAACAAAATCGATAGCAAAGGTGGCCTGCAAAATATTAGGACGTTTGCTGTTATATCCACTTCCAAAATTTCAAAATAACGTGATTATATAGAGCAAACAGCCCGATATTTTTGTAGACCAGCTTTTTTTTGTGATTAAATTATCTTACGATTCAAGTAGAAAATAAATGGATATTTACGAGTATTTCAGTAAAATGGATGGAAAAACACACTAATCCGGAGAATTTTCGTAAATAAAAATGAATGAGATGAAGTTATTCACGAAGTGTTAGGCGGATGTTAATGATAAAAATGGGTCTGTATATACATATATGCATATATATTTTAACTGATTTAACTAGTAACTTATGTTTTATTCAATATAATGAGATAAAAATCTCCACCTAAGGATCCAAGATAATAAAAACAATTCAGAACAGTTACAACAGACCAAAGAACGTTTTGAAGAAGAAAAAAACTAGGTTTTTAATAGTTGAGGGCTAATATTGTCTATTATTGATACTCTGATATAGTAAATGATGCTTATTATATATATTTTTTAATATTTTATTTGCAAGATTTTTGGTTTGTTTTGAGTTTTCTTACAGTTGTTGTTTTGGATTTTGGATTCATAATTATAATTTTTATTAGAAAAAATTACTGTCCTTCCTGAAAATATTTCCTTTTTATTTTTAAAATTTAATTTTTATTTTGATAGGAATTATAAAAAATATAAGCTTTATAATTCTACATTTAGTTTTTTTTTTTGTATATATATGAAAAAAAGAGCTGCGATATACACTTAATTCGTATGTTTTCACTAGTGAAAAGGATAGAACAAAAAAATCATTGAAAAAATTAAACTTTTAGTTTGATAGGAGTTAACGAGACCAATATTTCCCTCAGTCTGAAATAAACTAATTTAAGCTGGAATATAACAATATGATTGTAGTTCACACAACTTTGATAATTAAAAAGGAAATAGAAGCCACGAAGAGCTGGTTGAATTTAAATAGAAACAAATGAAATCACAAATAAGACTTTTATTATTAACCAGAAAAAATAAAGGTTAATTAAAATTTACTGAAAATTACATGAAATCTAAGTGAAGGACGCAAATGTTATACCTTTAACGTTTGGAATAGACTAAACAATGCATTATAAATTAGCTTTTTTAATAAAACCTAAAATTTTAAACCTTATACAAATATTTTATTAACCTAACCCCATATGCAAGGTCATGAATGTATTCCACATTTCATGGACATTATATTGTCAAGAGTGACTTACATTAATTTTAATTACTAAATGGAATTAAATGAAATTGATACTAAATTTAATTTGGTAAATTTGAGAACTATTCTCCTCATTTCCTCCAAGTTTGGGTCAAATTCAACAATCTGTTTTCTAACTAGAGGCCTATCAAATAATACGTTTACTGATCGGAAAGCGGAAGTGTTTTTTTTTAGAGTAGTGGATAGAATTAGATAAAATTGATACCAAATTAATTATCTGTTAATTAAATCCCTAACATCCCTTCAAATCTGGGCCAAATTTGGAACTAGCGGTTTTAGAGATATAGACGTATGAAGGAAAACGCGCTTGTGAATATATAAGAGAAAGTAGATAACGGAATTAAATAAAATCGATATAGAATCATTATTTGACCAAATACCACCTTTCTTTGAACTTGGAGCCAAATCGAATGAGTCGTTTCTGAAATATTGGTATATCTATGAAAATACATCTATGCGTGCGCAAGTTGACGTGGTGGATGGAATTTGATACAATTGATATGGAACCATCTAAGAACCAACCCCTGAAAATTTCGTAAAAATCAAATGAATGGTAGTAGGTGCTATGCTCGTCACATCGATTTGACTACAGACAGACAGTGAACGTGACTGAAAATTTTCGATTCTGCGCACATAATTTTTTTTAACCCTTGCACGAATACAATGCTCCCCTACTTTCGGTAATGAGGAAGCAAAATTATAAATTCAGTTTATTAAAATTAATTATAATTCAAACTGTTATCTAGTAGGATAAATTACACTTTTTTTAATGTAGTCTTCATTAATTTTTATTTATTTTTTTTAAGTTAACATTATCATGATAGCATTAAGAAACAAAAAAAAATAATATTTTTCCTAGTAACTTAAATTTTTCCATATTTCTGAAAGATTAACGATCTATAACTTAAATAATGCAGTCTCATTCACAGTGTCCGCGGGGTAGATGTTAAAAAAAAAGTATCATCAATGTGTAGAAAACGTTACGAAATATTACGCAGTGGCTTTCAATTTGAATTTGTTTAGGGATTGAAAATTAGTGATCAAAAGTTTTTCTACTATCGTCTCTAACTAAATAAACTGTAGGATCTTGATTTTAACCTAGCCGCTGAAATATACAATATATCATCGAACAAATATGTTTAGTAACTGAAAAGAACTGATGAGTTAGATGTCATTCCAGGACAAACGTGTCTCTGTGGTTTTGATGGATTGGGTAGGTAATGATTGGAGACTCTCTGAGTGATAACCTGTGGCATGGAAATTGAATAAAACGGTGTCAAAGATAGATTATAAAATATAATTATAAAATGTAGTAGCATTTAAAATGAATAATTAAGAAATTCAAAAATGTTCAATAGATACTATGTAGAAAACTACCTGGCGTGCGTAATTGCATTATGTTTAGGAATCAGATAATACCTAAGATTTCTTCACTTGTTTTTTATTGAATGAGAAATGCTTTAATAAATATAAATAAATTATAAATTTCAAAGCATACAGAATATTTATACGGCATGATTATTCGCCTGCCGGAAATTTTATGTTTTACAGATACAATACAAATAAAGACTTTATAAAAATTACATATATATGAATAACTGATAAATAATAAAACAACAAATACAAATATAAAATAATAAATATTTTGAATAATTTATATCTAACAAATAATAATAAAGGAAAATAAGGGGAACCATTAACAATAACCTGAATAAAACTGACCACAAATAAAGTAGGCGGATCATTGTCTACGCTGGATGTAGCAAATTAAAACGGCGGATCCACGCATATCAAGCAAAACCGACAATTTTACGATTTTTTTTTTCACAGAGGGGACATTCAGTAGAGAAATTTGTATATCATTTCGAACCGGGCTTGTTCCAAGAAATTCGATACGAATTTGACTAAGCATTGAACATAAAGCCAAAAAATGGAACAGGTTTTCCTTTATTGCTAGGTCACAGAGTGAACAATCCGTATATTCCATATGAAGACGTGGGATTTAATTTTAAATAAAGGAGTTCACACCTGAGCTTAAACAACCAACTCAACTCGGGCCCAGTTAAATCCCAACATAAGCTATCCACGAATAAAAAAAAATTAAGATCATGACTCAAATTCCTACACAAAAGAAATCAATCAGAAATCAATGCTGCTAATTTACATTGTGTTTCGAATGTTGCTGAGTGATTGTAGACCATATTGTTGCCATTTGGTCTTTTCGTAACGAAAAGCATTCCAAATGCCTGTCAAACTTGCAAGGGTATCTTTTCCGCCAAATTGCACCAATTTTTAAACCGAAAGGTATTAAGTTTGATCACTTCAATGGCGATAAGTCTGGAGTGAAGACTTTCAGGCTGGCACAGTAACTTAAAACAAAACTTAATTTATTTATTTAAAAATAGTTTAAGGTGCCATGCACAACACCAAACGTTAGAGACACCGTGTTTCTGTTATAAAAATACATAATTTATATCATTTTGTACAGTCTATTATCCTTCAAAAATTGCAGCAACTTGTTCTGGTTTTCCTGTTCCAAAGCTTGATGGCAGCTCCCGAGTCTTAGTGAAATTCTTGAAGGGCAGAAGCTCTGACAATTTTTCATGATGTGCTAGATGGTCAATGGTTTGTTGTAACAGCTGCATCTAGGATAAGAATTCCCTTCAAGGAGGTGCCTATGCGTCAGCCTAGTATGTCCTCTTCTGAGTCTACAAATTATGGTTTGCTCCCGAAGGTACCCTGTTATTGGAGGCAGTGGTTCTGTATCTTCATAAATATTTTTCAGTTTGTTGGTCTTTGGGACCTTCGACCAAAAGTTGGGCTTGCTTCTTTGCAATGACGGCTGCATTGAAGTCGTACAGCACCGTGTTAAGTATAGGTTCTGGAAATATGGTCCAGGCTTCCTTGACAGCTTTGTTACCCAGTTCATTTCTAGGTATACCAACATGGCTTATGACCCACAGAAATTTTATTACTTTGTTTGTTAACTGAATTAGTTGTGTTAGGGAAAATGCAATAGGGTTATTGGAGAGTTGAAAATTTTGTATTTATCTGAGGGCGGAATATGAGTCACTGCAAATTAGAATGTGAGTGTTTTTCAATTCATTAATTACGGATAAATAAATGGAATACAACTCGGATGAGAAGACGGAATTAATGGAAGGAAAACTGAACCGGATGGTTTCAGTGA